CTCCGGAGGTCATCCAGTCCAACCCACTGTCCAGAGCAGGACCAATCCCCAACTAAATCATCCCAGCCAGGGCTTTCTCAAGCCTGACCTTAAAAACTTCTAAGGAAGGGGATTCCACCACCTCCCTAGGTAACGCATTCCAGTGTTTCACCACCCTCCTAGTGAAATTTTTTCCTAATATCCAATCTAAATCTCCCCCACTACAACTTGAGACCATTACCCCTTGTCCTGTCATCTGCTATCACTGAGAATAGTCTAGATCCATCCTCTTTGGATCCACATTTCAGGTAGTTAAAAGCAGCTATCAAATCCCCCCTCATTCTTCTCTTCCACAGACTAAACAATCCCAGTTCCCTCAGCCTCTCCTCATAAGTCATGTGTTCCAGACCCCTAATCATTTTTGTTGCCCTTCGCTGGACTCTCTCCAATTTTTCCACATCCTTCTTGTAGTGTGGGGCCCAAAACTGGACACAGTACTCCAGATGAGGCCTCACCAATGCCCAATAGAGGGGAACGATAACGTCCCTCGATCTGCTGACAATGCCCCTACTTATACACCCTGAAATGCCATTGGCCTTCTTGGCAACAAGGGCACACTGTCGACTCATATCCAGCTTCTCATCCACTGTCACCCCTAGGTCCTTCTCTGCAGAACTGCTGCCTAGCCATTCGGTTCCCAGTCTGTAGCGGTGCATGGGATTCTTCCATCCTAAGTGCAGGACTCTGCACTTGTCCTTGTTGAACATCATCAGATTTCTTTTGGCCCAGTCCTCCAATTTGTCTAGGTCCCTCTGTATTTTATCCCTCCAGCGTATCTACCACTCCTCCCAGTTTAGTGTCATCCGCAAACTTGCTGAGGGTGCAATCCACACCATCCTCCAGATCATTAATGAAGATATTGAACAAAACTGGCCCCAGGACCGACCCTTGGGGCACTCCGCTAGATACCGGCTGCCAACTAGACATGGAGCCATTGATCACTACCCGTTGAGCCCGACAATCTAGCCAACTTTCTACCCATCTTGTAATGCATCCATCCAGCCCATACTTCTTTAACTTGCTGACAAGAATACTGTGGGAGACCGTGTCAAAAGCTTTGCTAAAGTCAAGGAATAACATGTCCACTGCTTTCCCTTCATCCACAGAACCAGTTATCTCATCATAGAAGGCAATTAGATTAGTTAGGGATGACTTTCCCTTGGTGAATCCATGCTGACTCTTCCTGATCACTTTCCTCTCCTCTAAGTGTTTCAGAATTGATTCCTTGAGAACCTGCTCCATGATTTTTCCAGGGACTGAGGTGAGGCTGACTGGCCTGTAGTTCCCAGGATGATCCTCCTCCCCTTTTTAAAGATTGGCACTACATTAGCCTTTTTCGAGTCTTCCGGGACTTCCCCCGATTGCCATGAGTTTTCAAAGATAATGGCCAATGGCTCTGCAATCACATCTGCCAATTCCTGTAGCATCTTGTAGTACTGTGTACTACTCTGTATATGCCAAACAGTCAATTAAAGTCACACATTAAAAGTCCACACTAAACTGATTTTATTAGAGCACAAGTATAATACAGTAATAGTGACAATCTGCTGAGATGTATGGTAGCTTAACTGGCTACAGACATTGCATTATTTGCTGACATGGGAATCTAGTGGATTCATTGTATTCCGTATAGGTGCTGAATAAATTATTAAACTAGATATCTTTAGAAAGAAGTGAATTTACATAAATCTAAGGTGGTAACCATATGCTGGACAATTGAGAATTGAAATCAGTGTAGGCTTACAAGAGTGACTAGAAATTAAAAGCAGGGCCATACATATCTGTCTAAGGTTGTAGAGTAAGTGTACATTATTTGAGAAACATTTTATGTGATCCTGTCATTAAAGACTGTATTGTAATGCATATGCACGAGTGGGGGGTAAGGTTGATCTTAAGTGTGGCAGTCATAACCTTGTCATTCCTTGACTTTAAGGGCTATATAATTGAGCACTTAAGTCTCTTCATACACATAATTTAAGGCAGTAATACACACTATTTTCAGAGATTTTATGCACAGGGTTGTCTGTAGAACCAAAAGCTCTTCTTATACTCATCCTTCGATTAAGAGGTTGAAGGCATAGCTACTGTGTATTTTTATTTGTCAATATAAATGCTTCCACTTCATTCCTGGACTGGAATGGGTGGTGTTAAGCAGCAGATTTTACCACTGGAATTTTGCATCCCGTTTTCATGAACGTTTCTATAAGGATTTTTCTAGCAATACGATTAAATTTTGGCTGTTTTATTTAGAAAGTGAAAATATAGTTAACAAAATATATCACCGCTAAAAATGACCGTTAAAGAAACCAGTCATGCCAAATAGCGACCTTCGCTTGTACAACCCCCTTGATGTCAGACGAGTTACAAGTGGAGCAGAAAAGAAGTGTCCTTCCTTTCCCAATTCCCCATGCCGAATTCAGAGCTCTTATGCCATAGTTATCTCTAGGTGCTGCTTGTTTAACTGATTATCACATCGTTATGTAGCCGAACTGTTAATTTTAGAGAGATACGATTAATCAGATGTAACTTAACCAAGCCACTGTGCATGCTGTCACCTTTGAGTGCGAGGCAATTACAGCAACATGAGGCTGTTGCACTGAAAATAATAGGATAACGAACAGCCAAGTGTTTTAAGAGGCCGGGCTGTAGCTCAGTCGCATGGCCAAGTCAGCAAGGCCTCTTTTGGAGGTGAGCCGTGCTTAGTGGCAGGGGAAGGGCTGAACTGGCTAGAGTGCCAAGGGAGAGCGATTGCTGGCGCGGGAAAACATTGAGGGGAGCCCGGCCCAGGCTTTAGATCGCTAGAAAGTGCGCGCTCGGGGGCTGACTGACTAGGCAAAGGAGCGATTTCTATTTCAACCCATGCTTGTGCTCCCCCCTAGCCTAGCTGGGGGTGCTTCGGTCGTAAGATGGAAAGGACAGCCGTGGGGCCACCTGCGCTGTTCTAGGCGAAAGGCACAGCGGTAAAGTTAACACTTCACGCAGCTCTGGAACCAGCTTCATTTTCGCAGCGGAATCTCGGCTCGGAGACGACGGGGGGAGGCGAACTCTCTCCCGCCTTGGCCGCCTGAATGACATTAAGCCCCCGCTGGCTCTGGGGGGCAGGATAGAGCGGGGTCTCCGCACCTCCCCCGCGGCGCCGCTGCCAACCGGTGAATCTCAGTATAGCTGACGAAGGGCACCGCTCGCTCTTACACGTACCAAAGTTAACGGAGGTAAAACATTTTCTGCGGGGGGGCGGGGACGTATAATTTCGTTGTGCTTTCAAACCATTTACGCGGGCCCAGCGGGAGCGGCCGTGGCTGTCTGCTCTGAGCGCTGGCCGGCGGAGAGTGTTTGCTAAGAAGTACTCGGTCATGCCGGGCTGGGCCGTGCCTTGGGGAGGACGCTGCTCGCTTCTTCCAGCATCGGTTTCTCTTGTGTCCTGGTTATTCCTGCTACACCAGCCCCATCCTCCTGATTCCAGCGCAGCTCCCCCTGAGACCAACCTTCCTTCCCCCTCTCACCCGCTGCGGGGAAACGCTCGCCAGCCGCCCTCGCTAGGGGCCCAAGTGACACAGCAGCACCCAAGGGGGCAGCCTGGCCAGGGCGCTCAGCGCGGTAGCAGCAAGCGGACAGGTAGCTGCACACACACCGCTTCCCTCACCCGCCCGCCTCATTCCTGCTGCCATGAGCCCCTGCTGTCCGAGCGCAGTGCGCCCCCTCCAGGCGGCGGCGCCCTGCGCGCCCCCTTCTCCAGCCCCGCAGCTCCCGCTCTCCCGGCTTCCCCTTCTGGCTGCTCCCACAGGGACACCCCTCACCCTGCGCTGCAGCGCCTTTGGGCTGAAAGCCCACGCACGCTCTCCCCCACCTTTCCTCTCCAGTGCTGCTCCTATCACCCCTTCCCTCCCGTGCCCTAACCCCCACCGCCTCCGTCCCAACCCCTGTCCGCCCCAGTGATCCCCCATCCACCCCGTGCCCGAACCCCCCCGTCCTCCGTCCCAACCCCTGCCCGCCCCAGTGATCCCCCATCCACCCCGTGCCCGAACCCCCCCCGTCCTCCGTCCCAACCCCTGCCCGCCCCAGTGATCCCCCATCCACCCCGTGCCCGAACCCCCTCCGTCCCAACCCCTGCCCGCCCCAGTGATCCCCCATCCACCCCGTGCCCTAACCTCCCCTCCTCCACCCAACCCCTGCCCGCCCCAGTGATCCCCCATCCACCCCGTGCCCGAACCCCCCCCGCCTCCATCCCAACCCCTGCCCTCCCCAGTGATCCCCCATCCACCCCGTGCCCGAACCCCCCCCCCGCCTCCATCCCAACCCCTGCCCTCCCCAGTGATCCCCCATCCACCCCGTGCCCGAACCCCCCCCGCCTCCATCCCAACCCCTGCCCTCCCCAGTGATCCCCCATCCACCCCGTGCCCGAACCCCCCCGTCCTCCGTCCCACCCCCTGCCCGCCCCAGTGATCCCCCATCCACCCCGTGCCCTAACCTCCCCTCCTCCACCCAACCCCTGCCCGCCCCAGTGATCCCCCATCCACCCCGTGGCCCCTGAGCTGCCCCTCCCCAGCGCAGTTCCTGGCCGCGCCCTGGCCCCGCACCCAGGGACAGGCAGGTAGCTGCTCCCTTCCGCTCCCCCGCCCCCGTTCGCTCCCTACCTCCCGCGGCGCTGGGTGCCCCGCCCCCTCCCCACCCGCGCGCCGCGGCTGGTGCTGGGGGCGGCAGCGAGGAGGAAGGGATGAGGTCATCCTCTTTCCCGGCGTCAGTCAGCTGGGTGGCGGCGGCGGCGGCGGCGGCGGGCGGAGGGATGCGCCGGTCCGGGGAGCGGTCCCCCGGCTGCTGCCGGCTCGGGCGGAGCGCGCGGGTGGCGGGGCGCGGGGGCTGAGCGTGGCTCCCCACAGGCAGGCGGCGCTCCAGGCGCGGCGGGCCCGGGAGGAGCCGGCGGCCCATAGCCGGGCCGGGGAGCGGAGCGGCGGCGGCGGCGGGGGAGGAGCAGGGGGAGGCGCGGGATAAAGGCGCGCTCTCCCCGGCGGCGGGGCGGAGGCATCATGGCCGCGAAGTCGGACGGGCGGCTGAAGATGAAGAAGGGCGGCGAGGTGGCGTTCACGCCTCTGCAGAACTCGGACCACTCGGGCTCGGTGCAGGCGCTGGCCCCGGGGCTGCCCTCGGGCGCGGGGCCGGGCGGCGGCGGCGGCGGCGGCGGCGACGAGGCACCGGGGGGCGGCTGCTGCAGCGGCAGCGGCGGGGACGGCGGCTCCAGCTGCTGCGGCGGGGGAAGAGGCGGCGGCTCCCGGGGCTCGGGCGGGGGCTCGTCGGCGCTGTGCCTGCGGCTGGGCCGGGAGCAGCGGCGCTACTCGCTGTGGGACTGCCTGTGGATCCTGGCCGCCTTGGCCGTGTACTTCGCCGACGTGGGCACCGACGTCTGGCTGGCGGTCGATTACTACGTGCGGGGCCAGCGCTGGTGGTTCGGGCTGACCCTCTTCTTCGTGCTGCTCGGCTCCCTCTCCGTGCAGGTGTTCAGCTTCCGCTGGTTCGTGCACGACTTCAGCACCGAGGACAGCGCCGCCGCCGCCGCCGGCCACTGCCCGACCGCCGAGAGCAAACTGTTGGTGAGCAGCGGCTCGGCGGCCGGGGACATGGACGCCCCTCGCCCCTGCACGCCGCAGAGGCAGGCGTCCAACGCCAGCAAAAGCAACGCCACCACGGCCACCACCAGCAGCAGCAGCAGCAGCACCAGCGGCGGCAGGGCCGGCAAGAGCAGGTCCGCCTCCTGCGCCTTCTGCATCTGGCTCCTGCAGTCCCTCATCCACATCCTGCAGCTCGGGCAGATTTGGAGGTACAGCCTCTTTACCCTGCTTACACCCCCACCTACCTGCCACAGCTTCCCCGGGCTCTCCTGGGGGCTCGGCCCCTACCCGTCCGGTGATGATGTTGGGAGGCTGGGGAGGGGCTCCTCTTGTGTGTATTTAATTGAGCGAAAACTTGCATTGCTATTAAGCTTTCCCCCTTTCTTTTCCGGAAGTAGGTGACCCTGTAAATAATGTAGTTTGGGTGTATGCAGTTCTCTATAGTGTGAATGCGTGAGCGTGCACGCACTGGATTAAAATGTTCTCCAAACTAGGTAGCTCCTACGTGTGTGAGGAAACATGGATAACTCCCTTCCATTGCCACCGCTGGCGATACTACCTGTTTCCGAGTGGCTGGGTAGGCAGGCAATGAATAGGTTGCACACCCCTGCTCGCACACTATTTTTGATTTGATTGGTATTAAATATGCAGTGTGACAATCCTGCTAAAAGTATTGGTAACCTGCCTCCGTTGCAATGCGTTCAGGTGGTTTGGATGGCTGTATCCTTGTGCATGGCTCTAGAGGAGGTAGGATGACCAGATAGCAAATGTGACAAATCAGGTTGGGGGATAATAAGGTCCTGGGGTGGAGGGGATAGGGTCCTACATAAGACAAAGCCCCTAATATCTGGATGGTCCCGATAATATCAGGATGGCTGGTTACCAAAAGAGGAGGATTTATGTAAAAGTCCCTTTAAAAGGGAGGCAGTGGTAAGGATTATTAACCTTCCCAAGTTTTAATGCTAGTGGGCATTTAAACTGGTTGTTTAGTTGTCTTCTGATTTGCTACACATGGGAAACAGTTTCATTACATCCAGATTACATCAAATTGCAATCTAAAACATGATACATCTCCAGATTTATATTATCCCAAAGTCTGGAAAACCTTAACTTTCTCAGTGAAGTTTAAAAAAACTAGTGTTTTGAGAAAAATATACCATATTCATATTATCTAGAATTCTCTTCATATATGCACAGTATTAATGTGATTAGAGAACTTCAGAGAGAGTAAAGATTGTAGCTAGAAAAGGGATGCACTGCCTAGGGATGTATAGTCCTGTTGTTATAACATCTATTTATATAACATCTAGTTCTCAAATTATGTTTTCCATTTATCATACAGTTTGTATGGTGAAGAAATATTTCAGACAACAAACTTTTAAATAGTTTTGTTTTGTGGAAAGGCCATGTTACAATAGTCTATAGCAGATATGATACTTGATTGAAAGGACACTTACACTGACTATCATAATTAGTATTAATGTTTTTGGAAAAAACTATGCCATAGTAACTGTATAGTTTCAAATAGTGCGATGCTATTAAGTACCATGTAGCTTATGTGTTCTAATAAATGCTGTCTTTTCTTCATCCCCGAAAGATGTTTTTTAAGAATATAATTTTAGTTCAAGAATAGGTTTTAAATTGAGGCATAGTCATTTGCAAGTGAATTTTACCAGTGTTTTAAGCAACCTACTTTTGGGAAAGCATAATGTATGCAGTTACAATTTCCAAAATAAAATTATGGTATACAAAAACAATGTTTCAGCTATGCTGAATGTAGCAATCTACTGAAGCAACAGTTGAAAGTATTATTGAAGTTTCTTTTTTGACTGGTGGAAGGTACATTTTTAGAAGAGGTTTTTAATTAGCATATGTTGTAAAAGGATTTCCTATCATGGTCATATCATTTAGTAAGAATCATTTAAATATTTGTTTCATATTTGGACTCCCAGATTGCTTGTGTACTTCCCCCATGTGGGGCTGAACATCTTAGTGAGATGCATAATAATTAATATTTGGATCCAATCCTGCAACCACACAAGTACCTTTATGCACATGAGTAATGTCATTAAGTACAATAACACTATTCATGTGTGTAAAGTTGCTCATGTGTATTTGTTTGCAGATCAGTAAGCGTGATCTGATACCATGTAATTTTAATATACTCAGAACAAATTCCCTGCCCCACCTACCCCCAGAATGGTCAAAGTGGCAGGAGTGAAGCATTTCAGTTGTATGTGGGTGGTAGCAGTCTGTAAAGAGGCAAGACAAAGAGAGTCTGCATCACCCTGAGTGCCACAGAACAGATCTCCTTGACATCTCTCTGGATTGGAACATGCAGGGTAGGGGTAGGGTTTGTGACTTGAGCTGGATATGGTCCAACATTGCATGGCAGTGCAGGAAGCATGGTGAGTTGGGATTGAGGGTTCTTCAGCCCCTTGGCTATTCTTCTATAATAATTATATTCTTTGTGCATGAGATTTTGCTTCATGGATGAGTGCTTAGTAGTTTGCCCTTAAATTTGCTGACTATCCTTTGATTGTTGTTTTTCTTCATAAATTGTGTCCATTGTAATGCCATAAAACCAACATGAATATCCAACTCAGCAACCTTATTTATGTTTTAGCATGCCATGTTGTTTGATCAATTTGTTAGCTGTTAATTGGTAACTTAACTATTTCTCTTGATATTTTCATAAGTCTAGTTATTTTATAGCTGATAGCTTATAGTATTTTACATAGTTATTGTTTATAGTCCATTTGGCTAATTTGTTCCTTTCCTCCCCAATGTATTTTATGAAAGTCAGAGTCCTTATGGTCATCAACAGTGAATGATATGAGAGGAGAGGTGTGCTTGTACCATTCTCATAGATTCAAAGGCCCGAAGGGACCATTATGATTATCTGGCCTGATCTCCTGTGTAACACAGGCCATAGAACTTACTCAAAATAATTCTAGAGCATATCTTTTTAGAAAAACATCCAAACTTCATTTAAAAATGGTCAGTGATGGAGAATCCACTATGACCCTCAGTAAATTGTTCTCATGGTTAATTACTCTGTTAAAAATGTATGCCTTATTTCCAGTCTGAATTTGTCTTCAACTTTCAGCCATTGGATCGTGTTATACCTTTCTCTGCTAGATTGAAGTGCTAATGATTAAATATTTGTTCCTATGTATGTTCTTGAGTTCCTTGAGTCATCACTGTTATAGTGATTTCTAATCTCATCATGCTCACTGCTCTTCTCTGAACCCTCTCCAATTTATCACTATCCTTCTTGAATTGTGGGCATCAGAACTGGACATAGCATTCCAGCAGTGGTTGCACCAGTGCCAAATATAGAGGTAAAATAATCTCTCTATTTCCACTAAAGATTCCCCTGTTTATGCATCCCAGGATGACATTAGTTCTTTTGACCACAGCATCACATTGGGAGTTCATGTTCAGCTGATTATCCAGCAAGACCCCCAAGCTTTCTTTCAGAGTCACTGCTTCCCAGGATAGGGTCTCCCTTCCTGTAACTATTACCTACATCCTTTGTTTTCAGATATGTGTGTTTTCACTTAGCTTATTAAAACACACATTATTTGCTTGTGCTCATTTTACCAAGCAATCTTGATTGCTCTCAATCAGTAACCTGTCCTCTTCATTATTTACCACTCCCCCAATTTATGGCCATCTGCAAATTTTATCAGTGATGATTTTATTTTCTTTCAGGTCATTGATAAAGATGTAAAATATTGTAGGTCAAGAACTGGTCCCTAGGTAACCCCATTGGAGATAGACCTGCTCAATGATGATTCCCTGTTTTTACAGTTAGCCAATTTTTAATTCTTTAATGTGTGCCATAGTTTATATTCTAGTTTTTTAATCAACTTAAACATCTTACAGTCGTCTAAATATATTACGTCAACACTTCTCAGTGCAGTCGTGGGTCCAAAGGAAGTGTAAACTCTGGAAAATTGGTACTTCCTCTGGAAAACTAAGCACAATTCCAGTAGGAAATCCATGGAACTGAAACTCAGCACTCAGAATGCAGGCTGACATTTTTGTGAAATTTGGTTTGCATTCATTAGGAGTTCCTTCTTTGGCAGGCCACAGTGGTATACTGCACGTTGTCTGTGTGTCATATTAGTCCTACGTGCACATATGGTCTAAGGATTGAAGTCCCTGCTGTTGAAAACCTGTGCTACTTTCTTCTCTTTGCTTGGGGGTTCTTAGTTTTCAATTTTTACTTATTTTCCTTTGGCCCTGGTTAAATCTACCCCATCTACCTAGGTTCTTCTATTGTCCCATTACCATAATATCTGGGCAATTTCAATAATTAAAAATGGCAATTATATCTTGCTTTTTCCCTGTCAACAAGTAGACTTAGGTGTAGAGGTTGCTTTTTTGTTGTTTAGTTGGTTTGGGCCAGATATATAACTATGAATGTGAGGATATAAGAAGTGGGTTTTGTGCTTAGCTGTGAAAGCATGGAAGCTGTTGTTCATTCTCATTGCATCTGGCAGCGAGGTCCATCTCTTGTGAAGTTTCTGACTCCAGAGGTCATCAGCCATCCCTTATTTGCCATCTGATTTACTGCTGCAGTGGAACTTGGATATCAAGGAAGTGGTGGCCGTGTGGAGAGACAATCGCTCAAATAACTAGAAATGGTTCCATGAAGGGTGTTGAAGTGGACTCCGAATTCAACAGGGAGTTCATACTGAGAGTAACCAGTTGGGGTGATGTGTTCCTGGTGACCTCTATATTGCTGAGCAGTTGGCTTGCTGCTTTCTGAATTCTCTGGAACTATCTCAGAGCATGGAGCTTCAATCCTAAATATAGAGAATTGCAGTAGTTGTGTATGGACATTATGAAAGCCAGTTTTGAACCCAGTAGGTTTGGGTGCATATATGAGTAGCCCACCTTGATACATATTTTGATATGACTTCACTTCTCAATATCTTTGCATAAAGAAAATATTTTGGATCAAATTATTAATTTTGTTAAGATATTGAATTACTAGAAATTGGCCTTTCTGTATATTATGTTCAAGATTCATTCTTATTTACATACATTATTACATTTACATTCTTACAAATATAAGTGTGATTGCTAAAAACAATTGCATATTAATTGAAATGTGCTAATGGGAAATTGATGCGGGTTTTAATACTGTCTGGGGTGATGCTGTGAAATAGTGATTTAAAATGAACTTTTACTACAG